CCATCATGAGCCGACCTGTGTGTGGTTTCCTGGTGGGAATGGCTGGAGTTTTAGGGCTTCTTCATGGAGGGATCCAGATTTTGTACATAGTCCAGTTACCATTCTGTGGCCCCAATGTCATTGACCATTTTATGTGTGACTTAATACCTCTCCTGGAGCTAGCCTGCACAGACACTCACACTTTGGGGCCCCTGATTACTGCCAACAGTGGGTCACTGTGCTTGCTCATTTTTTCTATGCTAGTTGCATCCTATGTTGTCATCCTGCGCTCCCTGAGGACTCATAGCTCTAAAGGTCGTCGCAAAGCCCTGTCTACATGTGCCTCTCATGTCGCTGTTGTCATTTCATTCTTTGTACCTTGTTCATTCCTGTACCTAAGACCCACAGCCTCCTTCCCCACTGACAAAGCTGTGACTGTGTTTTGCACCATAGTAACTCCAATGCTGAACCCTTTAATCTACACCCTCAGAAATGCAGAAGTAAAAACTGTCATGAAGAAGCTCTGGGGGCAAATAATGAATACTGATGATGAATAAATCTTGTGATTAGAGCATTTAGGTAAAAAAAAAAATCTAGTGATATTTTAGAGAGATTTATTCCCCTTCTTAGTTGATTAAACTTGGGACAGTCAATTATCCTGTCTGAATCAATATTCTTCAGGAGTCCACATATCCATATATGGGCAGGGCTGACATATCCATTAAGGCATAGTAGGCACAGTGCCTAGAGCCCACAACAGTTTTACAAGCCCATGAAATGTTTTCATTACTTTTAAAATAAGAAGAAAAATAAATATAATCAAATACGACTTGGATTATACTCATCTTTATACCAATGAGGTCATAAAATATCATTTTTAATATTTTTTTATGGAGGAAAGAACCCACGAGGACAAAAGTACCACGGGTCTACAAAAGTCATAGTGTCGCCCTGGTTGTAGATATGAAACAGATCAACAGCAATATTCTTGAATACTCTTTATATCCAGCACTACAGCTAGAATGAATTTTTTTTTGTTTTCTTTTAAAAGAGGAAAACAGTCAACAATGGACCACATGAACGATGGTGGTCCCATAAGATAACAGAGCTGAAAAATTTTCATCGCCTAGTGACATCGTAGTTAATATAACATCATAGAGCAACACATTACTCACATGTTTGTGGCAATGCTGGTATAAACAAACCTACTATGTTGCTAGTCATATAAAAGTACAGCACATACAATTATGTATAGTACATAATACTTGATAATGACAATAAATAACTGTTACTTGTATATGTATTTACTATACTATACTTTTTATCATTTGAGTGTACTCCTACTTGCAAAAACCATTTGCCATAGAACAGTATGCTGTGTTATGCCAGCAGCAACTTCATACATCTCATGTTTACTGCATCTCTTAATTACATCATTTTCTTTTGTGCTTGATTTAATCTCATGTTCTTTCGTACAGTTACATGATGTACAAGCTTGTAGCGTAGGAGCAATAGGTTATATGGTGATGTAAGAACAAGAATATGTCATGGAACTGGACAACAATGACAATGAATCTGGATTATAGAAGAGAATTTGTATGATGAACATAATGAAATTCTGTCTGGAACTAGTTAGATGCTTTAAAGTCAGAGATTAAGAGCTTTGGATCAAATAAGCTTGGTTTCTCATCTTGTCTCCAGCTCTAATTAGCCTTGTAAATGTAAGCAAGTTCTTTTACTTTTTTTTTTATCTGTGAGAGAGAAATAACATTACACACTTAAAAAATAAATGATTTAAATTGAAAGAGTCAGCTAAAAATTAGTGAAAATTGCTCAGACATTGTTATAGCCTTCAGAGATGTCACCAGAGCACAAGGCAAAGCCCACGAACACTGCTACTGTCACTCACTAACCATGATCATGGTGGGACCAAATGTCTGCCTCAGCCTCACATCATTTCAAAATATATCATAAATGCCATCTGTTTGAGTATGGACAAAATAACAGTGAGTTATTGGCTCAGCAAGGAAACTTAATGGGGCCAGTGAGCAGATCTCTAAACAGCAAGAGTTAGTCCATCACCAACTCTCTATTCTGGGATATTTCTGCAGTTATAATCGGGGAGCTGGTTGGAGCAACTGGAAGATGCCTGAGAACTTGTTTCAAGAGCTCTCACGAATGATGGATCCTGTCCCATTCCAGTTCTCTGGAAGGAAAAGAAAGGGGAGCCCAGGGCTAGAGACCTAAACAACTCTCTCTATACAGAGCTTGTGATTCCTGGAGAAGAGCTCAGAAACTTGTTTTCAGAAGATTTCTCACCCAAGTATTCAAATATTATATGATGCTCATATGTCTCATGTTTTCAGGAATTTATATTAGGTTAGCTCTCACTATATATGGAAGCCTTTAAAAAATAGATATTTTGACATAATTTCCTGCAAGTGACCACCTTGAAAATATATGCAAGCAAATGGCATGTTTAAAAAAATCAAGTTTATCTTTTAAAGATCTAGTTGTAGCTCCCAAGAAAGATGGAATGAAACAAGATAATGTAGAAATAAGGATGATGATGATGATGATGATTATGATAACTAATGTTTATTGAACACCTTCTGTGAATAAAGTCCTGACCTAAGCACTCATTTTATGTTTTGGAAGCAGCAAATTTCTGACCTTAATTTCTTTCTGTCAACTCATTTTTAAGTTAGTTGGGTTGTTGTTAATCACGATTTCGACAACAGAAAACAAAAGTGCAATAGGATCCTTTATGCTATTTGGTTTTATTTCCCCTTCTGAACTTTTTTCTTTTTTAAAAATAAATTTATTGAGGTGACATTGGTTAATAAAATTATATAGGTTTTAAGTTGATATTTTAACATACTAAAAGATGCTTTTCAAATTTCAACTAAAGTATGCTCTTCTAGAAAGTCTCTTAAAATAAAATTATATATATATATACACATATATACATATATACATATACATATACGTATACATATACATACGTATACATATAGATAGATAGATAGATAGATAGATAGATAGATAGATAGATCTCCCAATGTTCATAGCAGCATTATCCACTGTGGCCAGGACATGGAAGCAACCGAAGTATCCTACAATAGATGATTGGATAAAGATGTGGTACATGTATACAACAGAATATTACTCAGCCATAAGAAAAGATGAAATGCTGCCATTTGCAACAACATGGATGGATCTTGAGATAACCATGCTAAGCGAAATAAGTCAGACCAAAAAAGTTGAGAACCATGTAATTTCACTCATATGTGGGATATAAAACTGAAAGCAACAAACAAACATGATGAACAGACAGACTCATGGACATGGAAAGTGGATTAGTGGTTATCACTGGGGGTGGGGCACGGAAGGAGGTAGAGAGGGGTAAAGGGGGTCAAATATTTGATGATGAAAGGAAATTTAACTTTGGGTGGTGAACACACAATGCAATATACATATGACACACTACTGAATTATACACTTAAAATTTATTTGATTTTATTAACCAATATTATTAACCCCAAAATTTTTAATTTAAAAAAGGCTATTTTTAATTGAGCCTCACCATTTCATATTTCTTAACTGATCAGAAATTTAGCACAATTATACTTTTATGTCTAAGAGCAGAAATGAATAGGTATAGAATTCAAGATATCAGTTATACCTAGCTATTATTAGACTATCAAAATGTGACAAAGTGAAAGAAGACAATCTTTATTTTGCCTAAGAACTCAGCGACTGTTGTTTTTGTTAGGTACAGAAGTTTGGGGTTGAAGCAATTATTTCCTTAAGATCTGAATTTATTGGTTCTTGGAGACTAATTCTGAGTAAAGAAATTTTCTTTCATACTAACTTCTGGTTTGTTATTTCTGAGTGTAAAAAGTGGACATGTTGTAACATGGTGAATTACAGATTATTTATCAAACAAAGATGTTTATTATAAATTATGAGAGCCTACACTCTTTAAGGGTGAAGCCTTGGAGGGAATATGGTCAGAGTTTGTAAAAACAGAGAAAAATGGAACACAGATGTACGTTTCAGATTCTAGAACACTGGAGCATTCCCTGGAGTTTGAAACAGAGTTAGGAAAAATGAAAGGAAGGGTCATTTTGCATCATTAGCTAAAAAACATTCTGTTCTAAACGCAGCTTATTTCAAATTTAGTATAGATAGATAGTCTAGCAAAAGAAAGCAATCTTCTATGGAAGGTTAGGAAAAGGTTGAGGTACATATAATAATATCAGGTAAAACATGTTGGGGGTGGATGTGCCAGAAAACCGATTAAGAATTTGACCTAGATCATCTAATCTCATTCTCACAATAACACTTTAGATGTGAATTATCCTTAAAGACAAGCATCAGAGGCTTGTATAGAGGTTTGGTCACTTAGTCGAGGTTATGTCATGAGCAAGCATAAGAAATAAGAATCAAACTCAAGGTGACCTTGCTCCAGAACCAAGATCTTATCCTCTCTGCTAAAATGTAGCTGCTAAATGGCTGATGTCACAAAGGGTGACAAGAAGGAATAGAAGCCAGGCCTAGATGCACACAGACTGCTATATATAACTAAGCATGAAGTTTTTTTACCTTAAGTTGTATTTTGCCTCACGTTTATACAACTCAATTATCACACAGACTCTTAATATCAACATGGATTGCTATTTAAAGACATGATAATGGATCAAAAATAACTGATTTTGAGTTTTGGCATAGGTATTTCAAAGCTAGATAACCTTGATTAATCAATTAACCACATTAGGAGACACAGTTTCCTAATTTCTAAAACAAGAATATATATTTCATGCCATATATTTCATATAGTTGCTTTATAATCAAATTATGCAATTCAAGTGAAAAGGCTACGTAAACCATAAAAGTCTATGATGATGAACACATGGATAAGATGAAATAAGATGACATACGATAATAAAAAAACAAGTTTGGGGTTGTTCCACTCACAAAAATAAACTTATTTTTATTTCCTGCCTTACTATTCATGATCCACTTGCAATTTCTTACTGTGTGACGAGCTTTTTCATGGCATTTTTTACCTCTTTATTTCTCAGAGTATAAATGAGTGGATTCAACATAGGTGTCAGAATACCATAAAACACTGCCATGTTTTTGTCTATAGATAAAGCAGAGGAAGGACGCATATAAGTAAATATACAGGGCACAAAGAACAGGGCAACAACAGTGAAGTGGGCCCCACAGGTGGAGAGGGCTTTGCGTCTCCCCTCTGTGCTGTGGGACTTCAAGGAGCACAGGATGACAATGTAGGAGGCAGCCAACATGAAGAAGTTCAAAAGGCAGATCACACCACTGTTGACGACCACCAGCAAACTGATGACATATGTGTTGGTGCAGGCGAGTTCCAGCAAGGGGTACAAGTCACAGACAAAGTGATTGATTACGTTGGGCCCACAGAAGGGCAACCGAAAAACCAGGAGGAGCTGAACCAGTGAATGCAGGAATCCCCCCAGCCAAGTCACCCCTACCAGGAGGGCACAGAGATGCCTGGTCATGATGATCGTGTACTGCAGGGGCTTGCAGATGGCCACGTAGCGATCATAGGCCATCACTGTGAGCAGAATGATCTCGACGCCTCCCAAAAAATGGGCTCCAAAGAGCTGAGCCATGCAGCCCTCATAAGAGATGATTCTCCCCTCATACAAAGAGTCAGCAATGAGTTTAGGGGCCATAGAGGAAGAATAACAGGTATCAATAAAGGACAAGTTGGCAAGGAAAAAATACATGGGGGAAGCCAGGCTGGGACTGGAGGTGATGGTGACCAAAATGAGGATGTTGCCACAAACCGTGACCAAATAGATGATCAAAAAGACCACAAAGAGAACTCTCTGTATTGCTGGGTTCCGTGAGAGTCCCAGCATGAAAAATTCTGTGATGTTGTGTGGTATTTCCATAGTCCCAGGACACTGAGAATGCAGGTACAGTATTGCCTATAAAGAAAGAAACATAATCATAACAGAATTCCAGAGGGAAAAAATGTTGCAAGGTTTTCCTTTATCCACACTCACTCCCTTTCATCCCTCTTAACCCTTATTGTTCCAAAATTCTTGTTACCAATTTATTCTGTTAATCACGAAATGTCAGCATATATGCCTATGTTAATTTCAGCATATCTGGGCACTAGATATCTAAGTTTCTACAGGAAAATAATAATTTAATTATCCAAACTGTAATTTATTTTATTACTACGGAAATGAAACGTTCAGCCAACACTGGTTTTCTAATTCACCTGGAGTCCATCTCTGACAATTTTCAGCATGGTTCCACATAGACATGGTGGCGCTTGGGGAGAATATTATGGGCAAGGGCAGGCAGACAGCAGTAATAAGAGCAAACGCTTGTGCAGCACAGTCTTTGCCAAGCACTGTCCTAACTGCTTTGCATTTATCAGTTCATCTAATCCTCGCATCGTCCCCATGAGGTAGATGACTGTCTTTACCCTCATTTTATAGAAGAAAGTAAGAAACGCATTTAGCAACTTACAGAAGCATATTCAGCTAATAAGGACAGAGCTAGGGCTTGTACTCAGCCAAGTTGCTACAGAGTCTGTGGGCTTTCCCGTACTATATTATCACTTAAATTCATCTAGGTTTGAATCCTTCCTCTGCTATTTATTGGCTGTCTAATCATGAACAACTTCTCAAAGCCTTGTTCTTATCTATAAAATAAAAATGAGAGTACTGCTATACTGAGGTTGCAGAGAGGGGTAAATGAAAACATTGCATGTCAAGTTTTTGTACAGAGCCTGGATGTGATAAACATTCAATAAATGGCATCTCTGATATCGCCATCATCAATACAATGGGCAACAAACGTGGCTTATGAATCAAAGACTAACCAGGTATTGATATGGTATAACTGTATTATCGATATGAAAATGCCGTAATACTGATCCCCACACAGAATACAAGAGAAAATGCAATCAATATGAATAGTATACAATTTAGCCAAATAATAAGTTTATATCCCCTAAATAAAAATGTTAAGCTGATTCATTGCTGTGACTCTAATTTGTGGGAGTACAAAATAAATCGTTTGTTTAAAATTAGCAAAGAAAAAACATCTCCTGTTTTGAGTTATTCATGAGAAACAAAATTATTTTCTGGAAAGTAATGAGATTTTTAGTAAAATTATTCTACTGCATCTTTGAGTTGTATTTTTTCTTTAATTTTCAAAACAGATCATAGAAAACTTACATTGACAGGCTCTGAGGACACCAACACGTCACCAGGTTTGGGGGTTTTTTTTACCTCCTGACATCATGGAATGCTGGATCTGGATGTGTTCTTAAAGGACCATCTAGGTCGGCTCTAAACATAGCTTCCCAAATTTCACTGTTTCACTTGATTAAACTCCAGGATGAAATTTGAACTGTGTTTTACAATGAGGCAAAGCGCAGCTTAGGCAACTGCTATGGGTTACAGAAACTCATCTGAGCTGAAAGTTTCTTAGAACAGTAGTAGGTGAAAACCCAAATGGGAGTCATTCATTTACAAGTAGCTGGGAATTCATTCCACTATCTACTTCCCTTTTAGTTGCTGAAGAACCCTACGACGACCCTATGACATTTAAAGTCATCTTTTCCAATTGTGTCCATTTTAAAGATGGTGAATTTAAGACTCAGATTAGGTGCAAATGGTTCAAAGTCACATGGGTAATTCATGGCAGAGGCGCAGCTGGAACCCAAGTCACTTGTCACTGCAGGTCACTCAAGTGCCCTTTCCAATATGACCACCACCTTCCGTTATCAACTTTCTCTGTCTTTGACAAACCAGAAAAAGCACTGCTGCTAACATCAGGGAGGAAGGCCTCGCAGAAGGAGCAGCTGGCTTGTTCACTCTGCTTTCTGCTAAGAATAATCGTCAGCCCAGTCTCGCAGAAAATCTTTCTCCTTACACTGAAAAACATTATTTATAAGGTGGAAGTGATAACATAGAGATGATCAGTGCCTGTGTTTTTTGCCTCTCCAAGAAGGATTAATTCTCCCCTCACTGGATCACTTGCTATAGCAGTGCTGGAACTAGCTTTTGCCTTGTTTACAGGTTTGAACAATATTGATGTCGTCATTTAATTAGTCCCTTTGAATCCAGTTTTGGTCTCCCAAGTAAGTGACTTCTACTCCACCTCCTAGAAGTGCCCAGTGTCCTTCTAGTGTCTAGAGACATAGTCAACAAATTGTAGGGAGGAAAGGGAATTATGATATTTCAGGAACTGATATTAGAGGGTCAACATCTTTAGGGAAAATGCTAACTAGACAAAAATAAAAACCAACATATCCTGTGCATATCCTGTGCTCTAGGCCCATTCATAAACATCATCTCTTTCATTTCCTCCCATAAAGCTGCAAGAAAAGTATTACTAAAAGATCAGGGAAACTAGAGTCAGAATGATTTACACTGAAATTGTACTTTCACCATTTCAATCATTCAATAAGCCTTTTTTCAGGCCCTACCAAATAAAAAATAGCACTTTGCTAAATGCCAGGAATATCGTAATGAATAAGACAGACATGGTCCCTGCAGCATAGAGCCTATATTCTAAAAGATACAGTAGCTATCTTCAAAACAAAGCAGGGACATAAATAATTATAAAATCAAATATATGGAATTGCTGGGTTCGTTTTATATTTTTTAATGCTGATAAATATTTACAGGGATATACATGTTTAATACTTACTGACATATGCAGTAAATTTTCCTACATAAAATCTGTTAACCACTTACATTTTCAATACTCTCGTCCATTCAGCACACATGTACAGCAATTCCTCAGTACTGAATGAATCCTATTCTAGATATTCTCCAAACCTGTTCCCTGAAAGCTTCTAGAAAAAGTCACAAAACAAAGAGGACTTAGTCTGCTATAAACTTATGTCACCAACTTCAAAAGGCCAGTAACATTGCCTAGCAATCCTACTATATTTCTTTAATCAACGTGTTTTTTCAGTTCTCAAGGACCATTTAAAATGTTCTTCAAATTTCTGCAAAATTCCATACTCCAAACTCCAATGTCTACTCTTCACTTTTACCTCAAAAACTTCTGAGTCCTGAAAAAACTTTCTTAGAACATTCTATGATCTTTCTTCCTTTCCACTTCTCGTTCACAGGAGTCAGGCCTGTATCATTCTTGGTGGGTCTCCCCACCTTTTCTCACCTGCGTGTCCCCCAATAAATCTCTTGCATATCTACTCTTGCACATCACTCTATCTTAGCTTCTGTTTCTCATAAAACTAGGACTGGTATAGAACATATAAAGATCGCTTGCACATCAATAAGACAGACAACCAAATGAGATTTGAATAGTACTTTGGCAAAGATGATATCCAGTGGCCAGTAAACATATAAAGGGTGGGGAGGAGCTCACCTTTTTAATCAGCCATGAGACATGATATAGTACCACAATAAATACTACTGCAATGATCCCCCTACATGGCTAACATTAAAAGGACTGTCAATACCAAGTGTTTCTTATCAATATGGAGGAACAGTAACTCTCATATGCTGTCGGTGGAAATGTATAATTATTGTCCAAGTACATATTGGAAAATTACTGGAGACTGTCAGTTAATGTTGAATATACATGTAACCTATGACCCAGAAGCTCCACTCCTAGAAATAAATCTAAAAGAAATGTGTGCACCTGTGCATTGGAAGACACATCTCTGAAGTGTTGAGAATTATTCATAATAAGATAAAACTAGTTAATAACCTAAATATCCATCAATAGGATGAATAAAAACTTACAGTATATTCATAAGATGAACTAACACAGCAATGAAAATAAGTGAACAGCAGGCACAATAATGTGAATGAATCTCATAAACACAATGTTGAGGCAAGAAATATACAGCCACAGAAGATGACTTACTAGGTAATTGCATTTATTTAAAGTTTAAAAATAGACCAATCTCGAGATGTGTACTTACATGGTAAATGTATGAGAGTATAGAGAAAAGCAAAGAAGTTTTATCAAAGGGATTAGTATTTACCTTTGGGAAGAGAGACAGATGATTGGGAAAAGATGTAACGGGTCCTGGAAGGGCTAGAAATCTGTTTCTTGACATGGTTTGTGGTCTGTCCCACTTTGCAAGTCAAAGATTTTTTTCTTTGTCTTGGTTTTTAATGGTTTGATTATGATGTGTGTAGAGTGGATTTAAGATCACCCAGTTTGAGATTTGCTGAGCTTCTTAAATATTCACCAAATTTTGCAAGTTTTCAGCCATTATTTTTCCAAACATTATGTTGTGATACGCTGGACCTTTTATAAATTAAGGAGAATGTTGAATTATTAGTTTTATTAGGCAATTGTTAGCTTCAGGTTGCAATTTCCAACCCACCGCCTGCGGTGGGCTGTGATTCCAATGTCAGTTCAATCGCATCCTTTGCAAATGTGCGCCACCCAGTGGCCAGTCCAGGACTTGGGTGGTGGTTTACCCTGCAATGCCACTCTCCAAGACTTCGGTATGCTGTTTAAGTCCAGATCCACACATTTCAGCTCCAAGGCGAGCCCTGGAGTTCATACACAACTGTATGGGCTGACTCTCTTGAGTGCCCTTCTTTCTTATCTCCATGATGCTTTCTGCCTCTGGAAACTTGGCTTTAGTTTTCTCACTGAGCTGCACACTTCCCACAACTGAGTCTGTCAGTGGCCAATTCAGGAGGAGACAGGGAAAATAAAAGCAATGGAGATTTGTCCCGTGCTCGTGTGAGACTGTCGCTACAACCCTATTCTTCTTGTCACTAATTCTCTACCACAGGACTGACTGGGGTCTGGTAGGGTAGAGAACAGAGAAGGAGGGGAAAAAAGAAAGAGATCCACTCTCCGACCCACTTGTCTGATCAAAAAGACAGGGGTTCTCTTGGAGCTCTTTGCGTATGTACTCAGGGCACACTTCCAGGTCTGTACAGCTTTTGAATCCAGACCAAGTGATACGGGGCGGGGGGGCGGGGGGGGATTAGAAACTTCAAATAATATCTCCTT